CAGCATTTACTGGTAATGATACCTACTAATAAGTGTGAATTTGAAAACTGATATCTCCATGTCACACTTCCTTTTCAATAGAACAACAATTTCAAAAATGATGTTGATGCATCAACAGATGTTATTTGTGTCACTATTGTTAAAATATACTGTTGAACACTATAACTAAAATTTGCTAAATTAAATTCATGTTTCTCCGAAAAATGAAATTAAATACATGTAGTGAAATTAATGGACAGTGACAATAAATATTTTTACATTAGGTACATAAGTCTTGTAAATTGTCAAATATATTTTTTTTTTTTGCTATCCAGTACCTCTCATGAAACTTGTTGTTTTGGCTTAAACATTGGTAGTGTTCTTACAGTTTTGCTATGGAGATGTCACTTATAGTGATCATTTTATTTTATCACCTTCTGTAATGCAGGCTTGAAGTTCTCTGGCACAGCTTTTGTCACATTAGCAAACATGCACATGTTTTTTTGTAGATGCTACATTCATTTCATTTACACACATTTTAAAAAGTAAAGTTTTTTATATTATCACCTACATAAAAATATTGTAACAATATTTAGTAAAATAGTGATATTTATATATACGACACACTTACCATATATTTTTGATAGTCTTGGGTAACGATGTGGAAAATTCAAAAGTGCTGCTTAAAATTTGTGTATTTGTTAAATATATTCTATTTGATTCACTAAAACATTAGTACAGTAAATCATTTTGTTTATCAATCGCATACCTTGTAATTCAAAATTTTGCCTTCAGGTAACAGTATATATACCGGTAAATGCACTTGTTTGAAAAACAAAGTAATTTTGTGAATTGCCACTAGAGGGCAGTCAACTTGTATTGAATTGCCGTTCAACACCATTTGATCAAATTTTTATCAAAAGTGCAGAATTGTTAAACAGTCTATTTTGAAAAAGAATTCCAAACAACTGCGGTAAATGTATATGTGAAGTAATTGCAACTATTGCATTGTTCAGATGTTTGATCAATTAAATATCTGGCCATTGTTGTGCACAATCCTTCATGGTCACTGACTCGGAGAAGTCAGTCAAGAATCATAAAAAAATCATTCAAATCAAGCACCCAACAAATTAATCAAAGTATTCTGAATTCATAAATTTCCAAAAAGAATTTAAAATTATCTTTTTAGATCAGAAAGCTTCACATTATCCGAGAATAAATAAAAAAACACATTCATTTTTAATCACACGCGTGTAAAGAATAATTTGTATGCTAATTATTTGTGTTCACAACAACAAAATACCAGGATGTGTGACCTTTGGGTGTTTTACACAAGTACCAGGATGTGTGGCCTTTTGGCAAATAGAGAAAAAATATGGGTTAGATGAACACCATTTTGTATACACTACTACCTAACTATGAAATGAAAGGAGTCTGTATTTTCTGTGGCAGATTGTCACATTGACCTGCAAATTGTCTGGTGGCATCATATCAACTCTAAAACTCTTTAACCATTGAAATTACTGACATTATTCACATTTGTCAAAACATTTTCAACTGCAAATACAAAGAATGACATTTTTGTATTCTTGGTTGTAGATTTGGGATTTTCCAATATTGTACTTTTTTAATTGAAAATAAATAACAATATTGATAAAGAATAATTTTTTCCCAATATGGAATTACTGTTTCTTGTCTTCAACATTTTATTTGATAACCATGGGAAGAATTTCGAGGCATAAATGTTTTTTGTGTTTTTAGGGGTATTTTTAATCTCAATAAAATATAGTTTTATAATAAAAGTAATATTTAATCCTAAAGATATCTGAACTGGATAATCAATCCATGATGTTTGTATTTGTTAATTCATTTTTGCTTTTTTAATTGTTAGGAGGTGAATCAGATGCTGATCCTGATGCAGGCAGTGAGTATTTACCATGTTACTTTTTAGATTAGTTTACAAGTACACTTGAAATGCAGAATATATTTAATAATGCTTTTCTTCTCAATGAATTGTTTTTATTTAAGTTACACAAATGATACATTTTCATTTGCAAATCAGCTTGGTAACCTTGGTAACATCTTAGTTTTATCTTTGTTTTTTTGCAGAGAGTGTTGATATTGCTACTTCAGTTACAGCATCAGCGGTTGTGATGGTAACAGCTCTGTTTGCATCTCTCATCCTCTAATTATGATGTCAAAGTAATTGCCGTAAGAAATGGGGAAAATAAGCAAGAATTTTAACATGTCTAATAATGATATAATTAGTGAAGAGATTTTGAAGTCATTCTAAAAATGAAATTATATCTGTGGTAATCTCCATTAAAGCATGTGATGTGTGGTTGAAGTATTTCAGACCATATAAAACATGCACAAATCTTTAAATTGTTTCACATAATATATACTCCACATTTTACTTAATATTCTAAACAAATTCGTCCAATGGTAAGTTGTCATCTGTGCAGTTAGTCAGTAAGAGCTAATTACACAAACCTATCGTAGATTTGTGTCCAAAAAACATTTTTGTCCTAATTATAACATTGATTATGCATTTAAAATTTTAAACCAAAAAATGAATATACCTATTTTTGTAATTCTATCTATTTATCTATGTCTGTAGTACAGTATGTAGTGTAGGTTGTATTTATTCTTGATAACATAAATCATTAGTCTAAGGGAATGTTTAACTGAATAGAATAGCAATATACCCCCAGGAGAAGAAGTCTTTTAATGTAGAAGACATCAATATTATAGTCTGTAGTCTTCTGCCAATGAAAAAATATGCTTCTGAGAGACTGACTGCAATGAATATTGCTTTTCGCATTCTAAAGAGCTTCAATACAGGATGGGACTTTTTGGAAAGGGGGTATTTTTTTTTAATTGCATACATTTTTGAATTTGTCATTTTCAGACATATAAGGGTTTACACATTTTGCTTGAGAAAGAAATCAAATTTTGTTTTGTAACTTTTAAACATTGTTTTAACAGATTGTATGGAATTGATATTTCCTAGCATTGTACCAAGGCCACAATATGTTATCAAGTTGGTTATTTAGGTTTGTACCAAGGACACAAGTTTAATGAAGTTTCTCACAAACCATTTGTACTATTAAAGACTTAAATTTATGCAAATAATCTGGTTGCTTTAGTTTAAAATTATCTGGAGCGATTAACCAGCTCCAGCTCGGTCTTCGGTTTACTCATTACCTATAGGTTTCCTCTATTTACATAAATATCAGTTCTGGTGTTGCAATGAAACCTGTCTAAATCGAACACCAGAATGTTGTATGGATTGCTGTGCTGTGCTGTGGTCAGTCAGACTTGGATTGACAGATTAGCTGTATCATGTTAATTAGCATCCATATTTGGCACACTTTAAAAACGGGCAAAACAATAGACTGTCTTGTATTCATTCATATTTGCACGATTCTAATAGGGCTGACAAAATAGACAGTGTACATGTGCAGTTAACCTGTTTTTCTTTCAAGTTGACATATTTGTTCACCTTAACCTGTAATAGTAGCCTTATAATTATTACGGATTTAATTGATCAGTATTTTTGACATAAATGTTTTTAACAGCACACATTATTTGTCCTACATAGAATAGAGATATTCAACATAATCTTGATGAAAGGTTTCGCTTGCATATTATTAAAGTCATCAATTTAACCAATATATTTGTTTTACACTTGAATGTTTTTATGAATGCAAATATTTAGAGCAAGCTGTGAAAACAAATCTTTTTAAGATTTACTATTATTCCTAACTATTTGTAACAAAGTTTCAACAAAATTGATTTCTCATATTGACTCGTTTGTATTTATTTCAGGTAAAATAATTAATTTGTGGGTCAAGTTATATATTTCCTATACTGATGAGACTATAATATTTTCTGTCACTTATCAATTCGTTTCTATTTAGGGTCATGTTGCCTTGACAACTTGTTTGTATATGTAGAATGTATTATGTTTAATAACTAATTTGAATTTATGATTTTTTATATAACAAGTATCAGTTTGTAAACATTTTAGTTTTATGGCAATATTTAGAGGTAAATTAATGTTTACAAAATATCAGAAAGAATTCCCATGTTAATATATATTGAGCCTGGGGAAATTCTGATTGCATTGTTTTCAATCTTAAAATACCTGGTCAGCATTTCCTTTGCTTCGATCAATTTAAAAAAAAAAGCTTCATATGCAGGCTTCATCAATTATATGATGCAGTATTTGCTCTATTAGAAGCACACATCAAATTGTATGCTGGATTATTAAAATATGACAATAATTTGACGGTTACCTTGTCATTAATAGAGCAAATATGGCATCTTGATTTCTGCAACTGAATTTGAGGTAATTTACCTGAATGCTAAACTGTGAGCAATTAAAAAACATTTTAACAAGATTCAATGAATGTATGACATTTTTATAACCAAGAAATTTTCAAGCAATTTATCTTAGATATGTGAATGATTTTGAACTAAGCACTGTTATAAGACAAATTGTTCAAATCCAGATTGTGAATTTAGAAAGTTGTAATATTCATGTAGATGACATTAAATATAATGAAAATTTTTAACAAATATTTCTGATTTTATTTGATGGCTGGACAGGCTGGATGGCATGTTAAGTATGAGCTTTTGAACTTTGTGGAATATTGTATTTATTGGCTCTGATCTAAATCTGATACAAATTGAAAGCATTTAAAATGCTTGCATTCCCTGATTCAAGTGTAATTTCAAATTTAATTAGTTTTGATTCCACTCAGATTTTGTAGATTACCTAGAAGTAATCAAATTTAATCAAAACAAGATATATACCAAACAACATTAAAATGAACATTTTAATGTGTTCAGAAAGAGTAAGGTAATTAAAAACTGCAAGACAATAAAAAAAAATGATCAACAGTAAAAGATAAGTGAAAACGAATTAAATTTACAAATTACAAGATTTACTGTCCATCGCGTGCAGAAATGCATTACAATATATCTACCTGTAATACTCCTGTGAGGTGCTGGCAATGTTTAATAAACACAAGGTGTTCCTGTCTCATGACCAAGTTTTTTTTTTTTATTTCGTTCCTTCTGTCAATTTTTTGAAATCATTTGCATTCTGGCTTCCTCATAACTGACTGTTGACCAATTTATTGCATCACAGTCCAATTGGTGTGTATATTATATATAACTAATTTATAGGTAAACTACCAGCAACACAACACTAAATCTGATATTATTCACCTATCAAATTATGCCACTTGCAAATTGTTATGCCCAATACAATAATAGCGCCCTCTAACGTTTGGGAGACGGAGACCATGTTATTAGTAGTTAGCAAAGACGTAACTAAAACGAAAGCGTCGGTCAAACATATCTTGAATTTTCAAGGTGAATGTTCCGGCAAAGCACTCCACTATCATAAACCTGTGCCTATGTAAATGTCGAATGTAAACTACTTACTACGTGTTTTGTAGAGGTCACGTAGTTTATGATATGTAAGAGATTGCAAGGACGTGACACGAAAACCGATGTGTCTGCCAAACAGGAAATGATCGCGCAGCACGTTGGCAATTGTCTTTAATTACGCTGTCTAAATGTTTCTGATTTATTTTGGTCATCCACATTCCCGGACGTTACGGCCAAGATATTCGACCAGAGCGGACGTTTCGGTCCGTGGCTCTCTTCTGTAAAATAAACGTTCTTCAGTATTTGAAATAGTGTTACAAGTAATGTTGCCGACGTTAGTGAAGCCATACAGAAATATATCCCAATCAGATCAAGCAAACAGTGGTAACATGTAAGAAAGCAACGTTTTACCACATTTATTGTTAACGTAATGGGCATGAGAGGACATAATGATTTATTTCATTGTGAAATTCACACATATCATTATATCTGTTGATATCAGTCATTTCAAAACAATAAATGTTGGCAGTATAGATTTGTTTAAAATTATTCAGTTTATTCTGGAATGGAACATAGTGATTTTTTTGAGTGACGTGCCATTCAGCAAGGACATTTAGATATCCATTGTTTTTTTAAATTGTTTATATTTACTTTGTTTTAAGTATTTAAGTGTCTTATATTTATGCCTCTATTTATTAAATCTATTATTATTATTATTATTAAATAAATGGAAGAAATATATGTATACAGATCACAGAAATATTTAACAGTCTGATACGTGATGTCGGCATACAGTTGTTTACAAAAATATTTAATACATAGTCTATTATGAACTCTACTCTATTGTGTCGAAACGTCCGCCCTGGTCGAAACTCTTGGCTGAAACGTCCGTCCACCCATTTGAACAGGTCAATGTCAATGTCAATGTCAATTTACTTGCACACGGCTATCATATAGTAAGTAACTGTGATTTACGAATCATCGACTCATTATATCATTTTGAATTATTGTTCTATTTCATTGATCGCTATAGTTCAATGTTTAGAATGTTAAAACATTTTGATTTTTTTTCACATAGACGATCGATTGAATATACCTAGTAGCCCGATAAATAACAAGAAGACAAGCCAGACGTCAAACTCGACTTTCACAAACTTGGAAACAATCGAAATAAACAGATCGCTGACGGAGAGTACCGTGGCAATAGATGTCGGCACTTCAACCGAATTCATTGACCACAATGACTCTGATAGTGCAGTACTCAGTTGATTATTTCGTATCTAACATATAGTTGCCGGTGGTAATTAGTGTAAGTCGCGCCCAGGTCAAATGCATTGCTTAAATCATTTTACTGAAAAAACATCAGGCCAGAGGGACTATTATTGTCGACATAGGAGAAAGAAGTTCGCCATGTCCATCTTTCATGGTTGCCAAGGCCAACATGACGACATCTGACAAATACTGCAAAGCAGGTGTATATGTCAATTAACATTTGGAATTAAAAACAGAAGCAATTAAATGACTTTTGCCCTGGTCGTGACTAATTTATATTCAAATTAGTACTAATCGTTTACAAATGTTACAAATTGCTTGTCAATGATATATTAATATAAAAAATACGTATGTTTAAATATGTATTTTAGATATGTTATAGGTCAATTAGACGGAGAATTATATTTGAAACAAAGTTACTATTGTATATATGTTTGAACATCCAAATAAATAATTCTTTCCTATTTATTTCATTAAAATAAAACGGTAATACTATGAATGACTATGGTGGCATGTTTTAATTTTACACTTGTCTTCATACTATACTGGTAGCAACAATTAGTTTGAGAATTGATTTCCAATGCACGGCAGTCAATTTTCCGTCATTTTCACCTACCAGTCTTTACCTGTCACCACTTCTTTTGTTGTTATTTTACTTCTAAGGGAGCCTTTTTATGATAAAATCGTACTGGCTGGCCTTTATATGTCTCGCATATTTATAACTCATCCATTTGTGAACCGTGTGCAGCATGAAATATCGAAAACAAAACTCGTTTGCGAAAACTAGTTTAAGCTATTACTACTTAGACCAAAAAGTTCACTTATATGTTCAATATATATAACATACTAGTATATATATAATACAGGGACAGTTTGCTTATTTTTTTTTTTATTAAATTAAGGGAGTTATGCTAATTTTTCAAAAGAGGGTTTATTAGCTTCTCCGGCGTTTTGCTTGGGGTAGTGTTCACTAGTTTCACCGTAGTTACATACCTCACTGAACGCTACTTCACACTAGTGCATGTAATGGTATTTATATATATGTATTATATAGGAGAAGATCGTTGGGTCGCTCTAGATGACAACATCACATTCTTGCCAAGTATTATGTACTCAGACGGAAATCCAGTCGCAATTTCGCCGGAATCCGGAATTATGGCTAGAATTCCGGCCTGAATCCGGAATTCCGTTGAATAGGATTTGCCAACGGAGTACACCTCGCAGCTGAAATCATGTATACATGTTAAACCAAGGGGTCGACAGTTATCTCAAACTACTCATTCAATTAAAAGTACTTAAAGGGGAACCGCTCAATCCCAGGGATTACACCAAAGAATCATGGGACACTATTGTTTATGTTGTTTACAATGTTAATCTATCTTTTGTTATCCATTGTTATTTTAATCCAGAAAGTAAATTTGTTGTTAGATTAGGCTTAACTGGAAAGTGTCCCTTTAACTATTGATAAATGACACAAAGTTAATTAATTCTCATCTTTCTATGTACTAGTACTAGCTTGAATTATATGGTCAGTAATATCAGGATCATCAGAGTAGAATTCGCAGATATAGATGGTTTACTCATCATTTTTGCGAACCAAACCGATTTTATCGTGACGCGTTGAGACTTTTTTCAGGAAGTGTCCCCTTTAACTCGACTTGCTCGGCGATGACTGATGGGGTACTCTTATATGTGAACAACAAACATTGACGCAGTAAGATATGATCACGTACAGCTATTTCCCAACAAATGTTTAGTCGGTCGCCACTTATCCTGATCATGGAGGTAAAAAACAATCCGTGTCCTGATAGACAATCTGCATGTAGCCCTGAGTACAGTCCTGTAGGTTGGCCTCCTTCCGTTGATCATTCGGCCCCCACAGTCCTGAGAAGTCGCATAGACCGAGGATTCGACACCCGCCTACAAATTTATGGCGGAGAACCGTTCTGCAGTTTTCATGATTGTAACCAGCTAAAACATCTATCGACTAATCTAGCGATCATAAATACCTTTTTTGTGGCCGAAAAAATGAACCTACAGCACTGGAACGTTGGCGAAAGCAAGTTTTACGCAACGAAACAACGTTTTGTTTATGAATGCGTCAAGAACAAGATGGCGGCGTATATTTCGG